GCCTGCATCAGTCTCAGCCTCAGCCTCAGCCTGCCTCAGCCTCAGCCTCAGCCTGCCTCAGCCTCAGCCTGCCTCAGCCTCAGCCTCACAGTGGGCTCCGGGCAATCAAGATATGATACAAGAATGGGGTTCTGGGAACACGAAGAACACGAAGTGGCCTACAGTTGGCTCCGGGCATTCAAAATGTGGCCTGGGAATGGTGCTCTGGGAACACGAAGAACACGAAGTGGCCTACAGTTCGCTCCGGGCATTCAAAATGTGGCCTGGGAATGGTGTTCTGGGAACACGAAGGACACGAAGAAGCCTACAATTGGCTCCGGGCATTCAAAATGTGGCCTGGGAATGGTGCTCTGGGAACACGAAGAACGCACGAAGTGGCCTACAGTTGGCTCCGGGCATTCAAAATGTGGCCTGGGAATGGTGTTCTGGGAACACGAAGAACACGAAGTGGCCTACAGTTCGCTCCGGGCATTCAAAATGTGGCCTGGGAATGGTGCTCTGGGAAAGCGAAGAGCACGAAGTGGCCTACAGTTGGCTCCAGGCATTCAAAATGTGGCCTGGGAGTGGTGTTCCGGGAATGGATCCCTAAGGATTCTCAAAAAGTCCTAAGGATTCCTAAGGATTCCTGGGGCTGCCGGTTTTGTCCGGTTTTGTCCGGATCCCGCCCAGACCCCCCTGGGGCGTCAAGATGCTCTCTTTTGGCCCCACTAGAAACCTATCAGTCTTCATTGTTGGGTGAAAAATAAAAACACATGGTTTCGAAACACAGAGTGGCTAAAAAAGTTTATGCGCGAGCTCTTGCGAAATCTTAAGAAAACCATGGGTTTTTTCAAGATTTTCACAAAATGCTACCAAACGGGCTTCGCGCGAGCGCATGTCGAAATCTGTCGAACACCCTGGCGCATGTGCCGTCGCGAGAATCCTCTGCAAAAAACGGGACGAAGTGCAGACGCGCTCGTCGTCGCGCGCGTATGCCGAAATCCTTCAAAACCCATCGGTTTCGGAAGGATTTCGAAATCCTGTGACCAAAAAACCTACAAAAACACAAGGTTTCGCAACACGGATTTTCAACAAAAGCGTGCGCGCGCGCTCTTGCGTCGTCGTCGTCGTCGTCGTCGTCGCCGTCCTCCCTCCTCCCGCGTTGTCGTCGCCTACGTCGTCCTCTGTCTTTCCTCGTGTTCGCCGTCGTCGTCCTCTTTGGCATCGTGGTCGTTTCCGTCATCGTTGTCGCCGTGGTCGTCTTTCCTCCTCCTCCCTCGTCGTCGTCGTCGTCCGTCGTCGGCGTCTCGTCGTCGTCCCTCCTACTTCGTCGCCGTAGTCGTCGTCGTCGTCGTCGTTGTCGTCGTCGTCTTCCCTCCTCCCTCGTCGTTGTCGTCGTCGGCGTCGCCGTCCTTCCTCCTTTTTCGTCGTTCGCGTCGTCGCCGTCCTCCCTCCTCCCTCGTCGTTGTCGTCGTTGTCGTCGTTGTCGCCGTCGTCGTCCTCCTTCCTCCCTCGTCGTCGTCTTCGTTGGCGACGTCGTCGTTGTTTTCGTCGTCCTCGTCGGCGTCGGCGTCGGCGTCGTCTTCGTCGTCGTCGACGTCGGCGTCGTCGTCGTCGCCGCCGTCGTCGTCGTCGTCGGCGTCGTTGACGTCGTCGTCGTCGTCGATGTCGTCGTTGTCGTCGTCGGCGTCGTCATCGTCGTCGTCGTTGTCATATTCGTCGTCGGCGTCGGCGTCGTCGTCGCGCCACCGCGGGCGCGTCGGTCGCGCCACACTAGCTGGCCGCTGCGCGCGCGCTTGGGTTGGCGCGGCCGCAGAGATGGGCCAGCTAACTCCAAACACTCATCGCAATCGTCACCACATGGGTTTTGCAAGCCAAGTTGCGGGTGGGTGGGTGGGATGTTTGCAAGAGCGTGAGATGTGTCAACTCGTTTGTAAAATAAATTGCACTACATAGGCTGCATCATCGCATCTACTGCACCACATATATTGCATTACATAGGTTGCATCGCACACATTGTACCACATAGATTGCACCGCGTAGATTGCAAGAGCCTCCTGCGGGGGCCCACGCTGACTAACATATGAAAATGGCATGCGCCTCGTAGAAGAAGAGGTCGCATTCGCATTCTTCGTTGAAGTTCCCAAGCAATGCGACCGATAGCATCACTGGCTTGCCTGGCTTGTCCCATGCGCGATGTTCTCGACAAGAGTCGCACACGCATTTTCAAATGGTAAGTCTGACAGCGTTAAGGCCAATCTTGGACAGTATCAACCTCATCGTTGGGTCCTCCGCATGATACCATCGAAGCGTAGCGTTCGGAGCTCTTTCGCGACAGCATCCGGGCCAAAACTTCGAAGAATCTGTCGGCGAACCTGGACATAGAAATGGGACCAGTCGGTCAGCTTTGGCACGCGCGTTTCCGCGGCAATGTCCGCCGTAGGTGCCGGGGGTGGCGGCCCCCCGCGTCGCGCGCGTCCGCGTCGTCCGCTGCCTTGCGAATTATCGTCGGGCCCCCCCGCTGCTTCTCCGTCCGCGCGAACCCCGCGCGTAGCATCATAACTCCCAGCGCCGCGGGTAGCATCGGCGCTAGGTCGTAGCTAGAAACTGAAATATTCCTTCTTCGCAATTGCAGACCGCCAACCTGATGGACGCGCTGGCGCCGGTGGTGCCTCTGGCGGTGCCTCTAATGGCGTCGGCGGGTCAGGCGCCCTCGCCGGTGTCTGCGGCGGGTTGGCAGGAGGCAGTTCGAACGGCGCTACAAATATGCCTGCATCAAAAATTCGCAGGTGTCTTGCCTTAGTCGACCCGCAATTCCCCTTGCAGCTCTCGCACGATCAACATCGCACCATTCGCAGACTCGCGGATCCCTCGCATTATCAAGCGAATGATGTCGGACGTTGCCCACGCGCGCCAGGCATGCAAGACCGCCCCGCGGCGGTCGAACGATAGCACCAGACGGCGCGCGGGGAAAGTCTTCGGCATCCAGATCGAAGCCAGCGCTGCTTATAAAGACTGGGGTGCGTTCCTGCTTGCCAGAGGGGCCGACAGGTGACTCCAATGGCTTCTTCGCAATGGGTGCGCATCGACGAATAGCGATGGCAGGGCACAGGTGCATTGCTGAGCCGCAGCAAGTTCCTTGTTACATACCTGCGCAGGTGAATGGCGACCGCTGCATTTAACACCGTGGAAGGGAATTAAAAGGTCGGAGCGCTTACCCATAATCCGGGTTAATATCCCTATCAAACTCCACGCGAATCTCGCAAACCCATCGCGAACTGATCTATCGTAGTTTTGCAACTGCGACTGCATTCTTTTACAGCGCGCCAAATAAGTAGTTCATCAATCGAGGTGCCCGTCGCCTGTTCCCCCTGCTGAAACCGACGTAGGCCATCCTGGGTTTTTGCAACAATGCCGCAAATGGTCTTGCGCGGCGAATTCTCCTCATGGCGCCCCCACCAGATGCTGTAGTTGACCATGGCGTTAAAGTGGAATGGTAGGCCTGTGGCGCGGCAAGCGGGCTCCAAGATAACCGAAAGTCACCTGCTGCACCCACCGCCAAGGTCCACGCCGGCGCGCTTGCCAAGATCCCCACCCGACGTGAGACGACGCTCGAAGGCAATATGATAGGTGCCGCCGCTTCCGCTGCAGAGCTCCAACATGCCAGCACAGTTGCGTTGCCCATGGCATAGTGATGGAATAATGTTAAGAACGTCGGCGCGCGTCTCCGCGGTTAGAGTTTCGCAGATATTGCAAGGAAGATAGATTCGGCATCGGAATCAGAGGTGGCGTCGAGGGGTACGTCAGTACTGTCGTATGAGCTGCAGTGGAAGCCCTGAAGGCTTTCGCCGCAGTCGTCGTCTCCCTCTTCGACGACCTTCGGCATCTCCTTCGGTTCGATACCTGCTTCTTTGTCGGCCTTTGGTTTCGCATCGTTCGGTTCGAGCTTCAGTCGGACACGCCAGTTCCACATTGGGAAATTCAGGAACTGGCGGCAGCCCAAAGAGCGGGGAGGAAAGAGAACAACCATCTTGGATGATGACTGTCATGTCCGACTTCGGGCGTTCCCGCTCTGATCTCCCCGCGGGCAGAACTGGCACTGGATCGTTCCAATAGAAGCTGGCGCGCACGTTCTCTACCCCCGCATGAGAGCATCGAGCGCAAGCCGTAACCAGTAGTCTGACCCATCACGCGAACGTCTTGAATGAACTTGGTCGTGTCAGCAGCGCAATCCAAATCTTTGGGGCCTTCACCGTCGAGCTGTACACATCGTAAACGGCTCGGTCGGCACGCGCACGCACGTTTAAAAGCGCGTCCGCTGTCTTCTTGCGAGGGATCGATGTCTATCTGCTCAAGTAGACGCTGAGCAAGCGCAACCAAGACTTGGTTTCGCCTTTCGGCGCGTCGTTGGCAATGACCGCACCATCCAATGCGCCAAGAGTAGCGTCGGCACACGCACACCTCCACACTGCGAAAAGTAGCGTCGGCACACGCACACCTCCACACTGCGGCGAGCTCGGCCATACGCAGCCGCAACTTGTAGGAAGGAACAGATCGGCTGGAATTCCCCGCGGTTATACTTGAGTCCGAAGTGGCATCGACGCATAGGTTCGGTGGTAAAATGTAGGTCCTCGATAATGTGTAAACGGGCGCAGCTTCCACGCGTACCCTGGAGGACCCATCATTACGATATGCATCTTAAACGCCTTAGCTTGGTCAGTAAACTGCGCGCCCGCCCCCAATGGGCCCCCATCCTCATCCGCAGCGCGCGCGTGCACCAATTGGCTCGAGTAGAGATCGATGGCAAAGCATCGCCCCCAGCTAACTTAGCACCTAAATGGCGTGAGCCGCTAGATGACGCAATATCAACATGTGTTTTCGGTCACACATACCCTCGGAGGCAGCATTGGGCGAAAGCGATGCGAATATTCATGATAAGACAACGTGCATTGATATTCTGGCCTATCCCCAGGCCGCTGGCCAACGCCAGCTCATCCGCCGCGCAAACTTAGGGCTGGCTCCTCTGCCGACAAAGCGGGCAGCCGCGAAGCTGCGCGCCTGGTCCATGTCGATATCTTCCACTACCTGGTCGGACTCGGTCATGAGGTACGCGACCCGAAGGTTCACGGAGCTCTGGCCGCTGTCAGAATAATTGTCTTCTCTGGCCACGCTGTTTGGGCCCCGCAAGCTCGGGCCCACTGCAGCATCCACCTGCGCAACCAAGTCCTCCTTGAAGTTGGCCAGCTCCTTGCGGTCACGATCGGCATGGGGGTCGATGTGACTGGCCAGGTCAAGCAACAGGATGCCAGTAGACCAGTTAGCGTGCACCAGCTGCGTGAACCTGACGATGCGCGTCTGCGCCCCCGCATAGGCGGCAGCATCTCAACTTGTCAAACTGCGCCCCCGCGTCAGCGTAATTTCATGCAACCTCCGTCATCTGATACTGCCCGGCCCCGGCTTCGTCGGCTTTGCTGAGAATGCTGAAGCACGATGCCTCTGGCGCGTCGGGAACTTGGCATGCGGTAGATTCCGCGCCAAGGAACTCGGAGAACGGGATGGCGAGGTGCCCGATGATGCTCGTCTCCAGCCAGAGGACCCCGGCCCCCTGGCCCCCCCGCACCTTGCACTGGGCCTCGCCAGGGAAGATGAGATCCCCATCCCCCTCCTCGAGCACAGAGATCACGCATATCCGCTGGAGGCTGGCAAGCCCGAACAAGGCCGGGATGTCGGCGCCAGTGCCCTCGGCGACGTCGGCGGCGAGCGTGTGCAGCTGTCGCTTCTTCAAGTAGTTGTACGCAATCGGGAGCTTGGCCAACGCGCTGCATATCATCGACACTACGCCCGCTCCGTTGACATTGAATGTCCGTATCCACGTGTGAAAACCATTGCTTTGCCATTCCCTCAAACTGGCAAACAAAGTTCTGGCCGATGATGTTGACGTCGGAGCTGGTGCCCACCAATGTCGCAAGCCTACCATTTGGGAAAATGTTTTTGGTAGCCCCCTTGATGAACACCTCCTGGCCGTTCGGGCCGTTGGTCCCGATGGGCTCGGCACCTGCGTAGCGTCTCCGCCTTTGTTCGACCTTCCACTCACCACGTGGGGCGCGTCCAGACGTGGCTTCCGAGTCGGAGAGCCAGCCGTAGCACTCGTCGGCGGTAGGTGGTTCCAGCTTCATTATCATCTGAACGTTGGGATCGGCGCTTGTGACGACATCGGGCACCGCGCCACGAGAAGCGCCCTTGCTGTTGACCATGTACACAGTCTCGTGGTTCGAGCTGGCGTTGCTGCGCGCGCTCTGGGGCGAATCACCACGGCGCGGCGGCCCCCCGCGCGTTGGGCGAATCCGCGGCTGGCCAGCGCCTGCGCCTCAGCCCGTGCCCCGCTGCTGCTGCTCCAGCCTGTCTAGCAGAGGGTTGTTGACGGGGCCATGTAGCACTGGCACTGGCAGGCGCTGGTGCTGGCGTCGGCGATGCGTCAGCGGTCTGATCCAAAGTCGGAACAGCCCCGTGTTGTGACATGTCGTTTGGCGAGTCCCCTCGCGACTGGGCAGGCTGCCGCGCGTCGCGCAGCCGGAGCTGCAGATCGGCACTCTGCGTCTGCAGCGAGAGGATCTCGATAGCCTGCACTGGCCATGCGTCTTCTCCTCTATGGACAGCGTAGGAGCATGATGCCACGATGATACCAGGACCGCGACACACTGTGCCCGGGGCCCCCCTAGGAGCTCCCACCGCTGGTTGAGCACATGAGCGCGGTCAACGCAATCCCAGCATCCGCCGTAGCACCGATGACCGCTGAAGGCGCCAAAGGGTGTAACGAGACTGGAACGGGTTGCAGGCACATCGAGCGCTGCGTGAGTTCGATGTCCTCATCGGTGCCTGGCGTTTGGCCTGAGACGCCCCTGTCGGTCCAGAATGGTCTCGACGTTGTTGCGCGCCGGTGGTGGTCGGCCCGTCGACGACGGCGCGTCGGCGCCCATCCGCGCGCCCCCACGCTCTGCAGCTCGGGCAACAGCACGTCGGGCATCGTTGCGCGACCGGTTAGCTGCCACAAAGTTCTGCTGCGCAGACATGTTGGCCTGCATCGCATGGTAGACGCCCCCGATGCCTTCCGTGGGCCCGTAGGGGCTGCAATTGAAGCGCCAGTCCCCTGCGCTTGCGTCTCCGCGCCCAGCGACGTCGGCTGGTGCGACATGTGAGCGCGGTGCAGAGTCGACCACTCGCAAGGCCGAAAGCCTGTGGAACTCCTCAGCAGTCTCCCGCGTGTACTTGCTGTTCGGCATAGCGCGGCCTGCGCGCCCCCGCCCGTTCAGCTGGTGGAAATAATCGGGACGCATCGGCACATCCATCGGCGGCGGCGCGGGCGCGCGAAGAGGAAATCCTGCCAGCCTAGGACGCATGGCAAATACAACAATGCATCAGGAGCGACCGGCAGCAGTCGGGCCAGGGCGCGGGTTGGGACTCCACGCGCATGGAGGAGTCCAGTCTCCGATCCACCACGCAAACCTGCCCATGACATTGCCCGCTTCCTGCTGCTGCTGAATAAAGCATTGCCGCTCGTAGTGGGGGCCATGGCTTGATGACTCACCATGCCCGTCCCCAGGCTGGTGCGGCGCTGGCATTGCTGCAAGCGCGTTGCCAGCAGGTCGTCATGGGCGTCTTCTCGCGCGGCGCTGCTCGTAGGTCTGGACGCTGCGGCGGCTGCTGGAGTCGCTGCTGCAAGCCCGCAGCGGTTCGCCCCTGGTCTGGCGGCGCAGCGAATGGCGCGCCAGGGGCGAACTGGCTCGCTGGAGAACCCAGCTCCATCAGCTCAAACCCGACGGAGCCTGCGGCGCTCGAAGGCCGCCTGGGGGCCACAGCGGCGACAGGCGGGCGCGCGGTCGCATGGGGGCCGGCAGCTGCCCATGGATCGACATGGGCGAGCTGCGCCACCGCGGCCTCGACGGCGGCGGGCGCCCATGGCACCCTCGACTGCCGGCGCGGGGATTGCCCGTCGCAGCGCCGATCCTCGCTCTGCTTGCGTCTCCGCAGCAGGGGCTGGAGCGCCCCCCATGGCCGCGTAGATCTCGGCGCCGCCCAAGGCGCCGCGCGGCGTTTGAACGTTCAAGCCGAACCTTATCTTAATGAATTCCAACCGCGGCCCAGCTTGGCCCGAAGGGGCGACTCCGCGCAGTGTTGGAGCGGGGCGAAGCGCAATTGGTCGCGCCACATTTGATCCTGATAGCGACCCCGCAACGCAACCATCTGGGCGATGCGCCTGGGCGAGAGGCGGCCACGGTCGTTCCCCGAAGTCCGAGGTATATGATTCGCTCGCCCCCCCACCTTCACCCGGTCACGCAACAGACAAGACAAGAACATAAACGCGGCGACTTCCGCGTTTCCACGGAACCCGCAGTGGATGAAGGGGTCGCCAGGCAGGCGGGGGCAGCGGCGGATGAATCGCCGCCCCTGTTCCTGCGAGCCGCGGCGATTGCGGCGGCGAGTATGCTCCGCGCGACGCGATAGGCCAACCTTGAAGACGGCCTCGAAGTGCTGTATCCTCGCGCCGCGAATGAAATACATCAAGTCGGAGGCCCGAGCGACTGGCCTGCACGGGCCATCGACGCCTGGGAGCCCAGGCCAGCCGCGCCCGCTGGCGGCGCGAATATATACGACTGTGGATGAAGCGTCTCCGCCGCTGCATGCCTTGAGCTCCAGTCGGTTCTTCTGAGTTCCCGACCGACCCTTGACCTCGGCGACCGCCATGAAGATCAGAGCGACGTTGTCCGCGCCGACCCCCTCCCCAGTGCCCGCGCGCCTCATGGCCGCGCTGTGCTCGACGCCTCCCATCTGGATTTCAAGGACGTCAACCAACTGGGCCCAACCGTCGACGACGCCGTAGGTCTTGACTACGTTGAAGAAGCGGTCGTCGAACCGGCCCCTGCCGCTGCGGCGCGCGAAGGGCCCGCGGCGGAAGACTCGCGAGAACCACTGCGAGATCGGATCTGCCGGGGGGAAACCGCCGATAACGTTTTGCAAGTGGCGCATTCTCCGCAGCCGACACCATGGGGGGTGCCCCGCGATGGAGGTTGCGCACCCGCTGGCGCCCCCGCTCACATGCGTCGGCGGCTGGTCTGTTGCGCTCGATATTGCAGGTGGCCACGAAGAAACCATCAGCGCCGTCAGGTAATACGTCCCATTCAGGATTGTCACTCTCTGGCACGCGCCACGCGCCACAGGGGCGCTTGGGCTCGCCCCCCTCTGCGCCACCGCTGCCCGCGCGCATCGGGTCGCGGGAATCCATCCGCCCTGGGATGAGGGGCGTTCCCGCCCGACGAGGAGGCAGCCCTTGTCTCTGGGCCCTTGCTCCGAGCCGTTGCCGGCATCAGAGAGCGTCGCCGCGGTCCGCGGACTCTCCGCCAGCCCCGCGACTCCGCGGACTGGGCAGCCGCGGGCCGCCGCGGTCGCAGAGCCAACGCGCCCTTGAACTTGAAATGTAGACGCCGCGATCGGGCCCGCAGGGAGCCCCCGCTCGATCTCAGGAGAGTCCTTTGGGAGCAACCGAGGGCCGGGCCGCGTTCCCGCCACGCCAGGGGCAGCATCATCGGTTTTGCGCGCCGCAGGGGGCGCGCGGGCGTCTCCCGAGCCGGCGCCCTCTTCGTTCTGGGGCCCCTTCGGCGCCTCCGCGTCGGACTTGTCCTGCTCGGAATTAGTCGGAGCTGGAGTCAGCGATGCGCTGGTGAGCCTCTCCGCGCCCTTGGCGCGATTATCTTATCGGAGCTCGTGCGCGCGCCACCGCGCGCGCCCGCCCCGCCGGCCTTCTCCTCGGGCGGGCCCAGCGGCTCGGGGGACGCAGCAGCGGCGGGCGCGACAGAAGCGGCAGGCGAAGCAGCAGCGGCAGGCTCACGATCGGAGTCTCCGCGTTCAACTCCGTCGGCGCCTCGCGACCGCACCCCTCGCCCTGGTGCCAGGACGACGCGGCGGTGGTCAGCGACGTCGCAGGGGGCGCGCTGGTTGTCGGACGTCATTGGCACGTCTCGCGCGACGCCGTCGCCGCGGCGCGGCAGCCAGGGCGCGGGGCCCCCGTCGGGGGGGCCTGCCGCCCCTATCCACGGCGCAGTTGGGGCGGCGCCCTCGGCATTTCAAGCGCGCGCACACGCGATAGCTTAAACGGAGCTCGATGATTCTGGGGGCGCCCGAGGTTCTTTTCGGAGCGCCAGTGCCAGCGTCGCGCCGCCTCCTCAGCGCACCCACGCGATGCCCAGTAGTCCAGCCCCTCCTGGGCCAGCGCGGGCGGGCGCCAGGCCGGCGGGCCACCCGATTCACGCGGCGCCCCCGCGCAGGCGCGCGAGCGGGCGCGCGGAGCACGGAAGGCCATGAATGAGCCGGCACTGATACGACCCCAGCCATCGTCGATCACGTCGTCAGCCGTCAGTTCAGGCCGCGCCACTGCGCTACCTCAGCGCGTCTCCACGCATTGCGTTGGTCGTAGGCCACAAGAGCGTGGCCCCGCACGTCGCATCGATCACGGGCGTCCTAGGCGCGCCCCCACGCATCTGGGCATCTGGCCCATGTGGGCCTGCATCGCGTAGTTCTTCAGCGGTGCCGGGAATCGTCGCTGCCTCTGAGACACTGCCGTCACAGGCCCCCATCTCGCCCTCGAAATCGTCGACCGAGAAATCGAGGCCGAGATCAGCCAAGGCCTGGGCCATGGCGTCGCACGCGGACATGCCGCGCGCGAGGAGTGCCACCGTAGGGGGACGGCCGGGCGCCAGGGAGTCGACGCACTCAACGTGTTCCGCAGTCTCTTGAGCCGTCACAAGGGCAACGGCATCACCCTTCCACTTTCCCTTCGTACATTGATTCTGAAAGTGGCTGTCACTGCTGCACCTGTTGCGTAGCACCCTCTTCCCAGAGCGGCCCATGGGGTTCAATGTTCGGCCCTTCCCCTTCCCGGCGGCGCGGCGTCGGCCCCGACCCTCCCCCCGGAATATGTCATTGTAGTCGGCGTCCGTCAAGGGCGCCATAAATACAAGAAAACTAGAACCATGCAAACGACGGTTTCGGTGTCCCTTACCCCGTCTGTGCAACACCTTTCTGACAGCCCTACGGACCTGTCGGATGGTTTTTCTGATGAATCTCCTCCATCGACGCTTCGCGTTCTGATGCCCACCAAATAAATACTCAGCAGTCCCCGCGTATCCTAATCCGTTGGGCTCGTTCGTCACATGGGGGGGTGAACCCCGCCCGAAGAAGGCGCGTCTGCATTGGTCCCAGAGTGGAAGGGCGAGTTTCCGTTAGAGGCTAAGCCACATAGGGCGGTCTGACTGCCTGGTGCAATGTTAGAGGCAGAGTTCGAAGGCTGTCCCCAGCCATGACGCGGAGAGGCTGATGGATAATCTGCGCCAGTTCTCTGGCCATGAACAGTATTAGCTCGCAGTAAGTCAGAAGCCTCCTCTGATCCATATGGGTCATCGGCCCATATGTTGATAGGCGCGGACGTATCCGCCAGCGGTAGTTACATGGGCGTTCGCATTCCCGCGCCCTCCGCTTCCCAGCAACACACTGCCAACGTTGCCGGGCGCGCGCTCGGCAAGGCAACCGCAGCAGCGCACGCGGCCCAGCAGCTCGTCGCATTGCTGCTGCGCGCGTGGCAGTTGGCCATTTGGCGGCTGAAATTGTTGAGCGCCTCATCCAAGGCCAAACCGTAATGCTCTGAAGAACACTGTGGTGGTAGTTGAAAGCCAGGATCGCAAAGCCTACGGAATCGGCTTGAAGACGGACAATCTCGAATATAGCGGGGAACGGGTCCGTTCTCTCGCCTGGTTCGGGCCTGAAGCCGATAAGAGCCGTTCCTGAGGTGAGCTGGCGCTCATCCTCCAGATTCTCAAAGTTGGTGCTCAGGATAAACATGATGTACGTGACAGGGTCAGTGTGAACCCTTTGCACGGCCAGGCCGTAGTTGATGATATGTGGTGGGACCCTCGCATCGCTATAGGGCGATTTAGGCCACCGAATCCAAGTTGCTGGCACGCAGCCCGAGGTTGTGGAATCATGCGGGCGCTGGTGACATTGAGCCACGCATGAACTTCTCGGGCAAACTCGAGAAACGATACGTTTTCAGCGAGGTCCCACCGGTGAGCCTTGATAGTATTTGTCACCTCCGTCGTCATGGCTACCGCGGTACATGTAACCAATAAGACAGTCAATGCTTAGCCACACGATACCAAAGGTGGTAAACTTCAAGTAAGGCGCGTCCCCAATGCTTAGCCACACGATACCAAAGGTAATAAACTTCAAGACGATCTGCAGCATGCCTCCATGAGGCCCAGCCCCCTGGAAGACCCCGACAGAGACCCTGGAGGACTCCAAGAGGCGACCATGGGAGCATCAGCACGGGAGACAGATTGAGGACCCGTCCGTGTTGGTCGGTGGCCTCCAGGATGGCTCCAAGAGGGCCCCAGAGGCCTCGAGAAGAGCCCCAAGAGAGCCCCAAGAGGGCCCCAAGAGGGCCCCATTCCAACGATATCGCAAGAGAGCCCCAAGAGACTTCCAAGGGGCTCCAAAGAGGTCCCCAAGATGGGCACTGCTGGGAGCTGTCGGGCTGACCTCATCTGCATTCTGACTGAGAAGGTGTCCCACCTCATGGTTTCACGACTGCCCCCCGCCACCATTTTCACGAGTGCCCCCCCGCTACCATTCTCACGAGAACTCGCCTAGGAATCGGTTTTGAATGAGCCAGCGAGAATCAGGAAAAGAGTACGCGCGCAGGGACGCCTCCGAAAGACAGGTCCGAGCCGCCCTTCACGATGAAGGATCCGACCGGGAAGCCGCTGTCGCCGAACTCCCGATTCCACTCCTCCTCGGCGCAGGCCCAGTAGAGGGCGCCCATGAGCCAGGGTAGCCCGATGCCGAGGAACACGTTCACGGAGTTGCTGCCCGTCACGTTCACGATCGAGGCGTCGGCGAACTCCTCCTTGGAAGCGGCGGTCACCGACGCGAACAGATCCGGCATGGAGGTGCCGAGCGCCACGAAGGTGATCGCGGTGATGATAGAGGAACAAAGAACTACATAAACATAACCTTTCGGAGCTCCGCGCGGATTTCTTGGATCGGCGCTGGGCCCCCCTGGCGGCATCGCCCCTGGCGCCCTCCGCGCGCAACGGGAGGGGGGTCCAGCGCCGATCCAAGAGGCCCACGCGGAGCTCTGAAAATTTATGCTTCTGCCGCTGATTCTTCCTCGAGATGGAGTCCTGGACGCCCGTCACGCAGCCGAAGAGCTCGGCGAAGTCGATGATCACCGCGGTGAGCGCCCCGATGGCGAGCAGCGACATCACGAAGGCAATCCTGCACCGCACGGCGGGCGGGCTCGGGAGGAGGGACGGGGGGGGGGATTGGCGCTACGGGCGCTCGCGAGCACTCAGCGGCCTGCGCAAGAGAAAGGGGGGGGGATGAGGAGGGCGAGGAGGGAGAGACGGGGATCGACCTGAACGGCGTGTTGCGTTTTCGGTTTGTGCTCGCTCTCCCTCGTCGTGTCTTCAATCTGCCTCTGCTGGAAAGCGACATGAAAGCGAAAACGGCCCACGAGATCGCCAAAGCACCGCTCAGGTCGACCCCTGGGGAGGGCGGGACGGCGGGAGGAGCCCAGACCCTCTCGGAGCACAGATGGTGCTCTCGAAGGGAGGGGGGGGTCCCCGCCCATTCCCCCCCGCCCCGGGGGGGGGCCAGAGCTCGCCAAACGCACCCCCGGGGCCTCGGGGAAGCTCGAGATCTGCGTTCCGTGGCCTCCAACGCGCTGAGTCCTGCGAAGACTGCCCAAGAAGGCTCCAAGAGGGCTCCAAGAGGAGCCCAAAGCAAGCCCCAAGAGACTAACATCGCCTCACACACACACACACACACACACAGAGAGAAACCTACATGTGTAAAGCAGTAGTATGTTTCGTCTGAACAGCGTCCAAGACGGCCCAAGAAGCCCCCAAGAGACTTCAAGAAGCCTCCAAGAGGCCCCAAGAAGCCTCCAAGAGGCCCCGCGCAGATGTTCTTGGAGCGATATCTTCCATGCCGCAAACTCATCGTTGATCTGCGCATGATGTGCAAACCACTTGGGGAACATATGCCTTCAATAAGTCGCACGCGCAGAACTTACAATGAACGCACTGCCAGTCTGCCAGCCGCTTCTGAAAACTGCGAAACCGATTGAGCTGCATACGATTATGTTGCTGCTGGATCGGTATCGTCAGTCACTTGCGAAGCGCTCCCTGTCGTCGTCGCACCTGGACCGGGAGGGGGGGGTCAGTTTAAGCACAAATTGGGTTCTACCTCTTGGCGCGACCATCCCACACGCTGCCACCGTCTCAATGATAATGGACTCAGTGCGAACTCCATCCGAGACGGGTAAGACAGGCACTGACCCATTCCCGCCGTCGGTTGAGCTCCAGCCATTGGCACTGGTTCTCAAAAGTTCAGAAGACCTTTACACCTATCTCGTAGGACGAGAAAGAAGGTATGGCAACAGCACAAACGATACACGTACATCTTCCATATGAGGAACACGAGTCTGAGAGTTGCCCGCGGTGCAACTCACCAAACACAAGATCTGTAATACTAGAGGCGACTTCGCGACAGCAATTGAAAAGAAATGACGGCGGGGACACTAGAAAGATAGGAGCCGAGATAGAAATGAGCATGGGAGTTTAAACTGGCACTCGTTTACGAAGGGAAAAGACTGTCAAGTTCCTTCAACATCTGCTGTTTCCCCCTACTCCTGCAGAGTTCGGTCCGATGGGCTTCCACCAGGGCGTCCCGTGGCATCCTGTCTTGGTGTCCACCAGAGGGGATCCACGGTATAAGGTAGTATCTCGTTGTGGTGCTGTTGGCGGTACACCCAAAGCTAAGGTTCAAAACGAATGAGACACGCTACAACCGAAAACAAAGCCCAACTTCTATCTAAGTTTGCAGCTAAAACTGAAGCAGGAGCTTCAGCCAACACCGACAACCGGAGCGCTCTCTTCGGCCACCCTCCTGCTCCTCCTCCTCCTCCAATTCCTCCTTCTCCCGCCACCCCCCTGTCCTAGTCCTCCTCCCCTCCTCCTCCTCCTCCTCCTCCTCCTCCTCATCTCCTCCTCCTCCTCCTCCTCCTCCTCCTCCTCCTCCGCCTCCTCCTCCTCCTCCTCCTCCTCCTCCGCTCCCTCCTCCTCCTCCCCCTCCTCCTCCCACGCCTGCTCCAACCTCCACCTCCACGCTCCTCCTCATCCTCCTCCTCCTCCCTCCCTCCCTCCCTCCTTCCCTCCCTCCTCCCTTCATTTCCTCCTCCTCCTCCTCCTCCTCCTCCTCCTCCTCCCATCCTACTCGCCCTCTCCTCCTCCTCCTCCTCCTCCTCCTCCTCCTCCGCCTCCTCCTCCTCATCATCATCTTCCACGGCCTCCGTCTCCGCCCGCTTCGTCGCCGACGTCATGGTCCTCTTCAGGGTCGGCGGCAACGGCCGTCAGGCCTTCGCATTTGTATCTAAGCTCGCGGCAAAAACTGAAGCAGGAGCTTCAGCCAACACCGACAACGTCGGTATAAAGATGAAGTAATAGAATGGAACCAACATCCACCTAAACCAGAGTCAATGTCAAAGGCAGAGCTAGGGATGGGGTACGACCTGAAATATCATATGAGCTTGAGCTACAGCTGAAGTTTAAGCCGTTCCCCACGCCACAACGATCGATTGAACAAGAAGTACATGTAAAGCGACAGTCACGGCTAGCACGGTGGTACAAGACCGATGCAGATCTCAAGCCGTCACAAGCATGAAAACTTATAGAAGGCTAGCTCTAAAGCCGAGGCAAGCACATCAAATCATGAAACCATGTGCGAAACTAAACGCGGAACGCAATGTAAAACGCGCGATCCATGCACAAGAGAACCTTCCCAACAACAACCTCTGTATCCCTGCCAAGTGGTTATGTTGTTGATGTGAGCTGCTTCACCTGTGCGTACGTCTCACGCGAAGGCCCAAGCAACGCTAGGAGGAGCGAGAAGCATATAGCAAAGCAGAGTGCGAGAAGCGGAGAAGTGCAAAGCATGGACGGCTACTGAGAGGGAAGGACGGCGGAGCCCGGAAAGGGTTCGAGGGCGTTAGAGGGGGGTCGAGAGGGTTGGGTGGGGGCTTAAAGGCTGCATGCAGGGGGTCGGAGGGGGCTGGAGGGTTGAGGGGGTTGGAGGGATGGAGAAGGCTGGAGGGGCATAGAGTAAGTTGGAGGGGTGCAGGAGCCTGGAGGTGGTTGGGTTGGAGTGGGCTGAAGGGGGGCGGGGGCAGTTCGAGGGTGCTGGAGGCGGTTGGATGTGTTGGAGGGTCTTGGAGGCGGTTGGAGGGGCTGGAGGGGGTTGGATGGGGTTCGAGGGAGCTGGAGGCGGGCGCGGGTGCTGGCGAGCGCGTGCACGTACGCATGCGACTCTGATACCGCATGCGCACGTCTGCGCGACCGCATACAAGCGCATGCACGCACACGTGCACCGCAAGGAATGCGGGGAAGCTAGGCGGATGGCGCAGGCCCTCTCGTCCAAATCCTTCTCATCCCGGCCCTCTTCCTTGATGGGTACAGGCGTGGACACGGAGCGCGAGGAGGCAGCAAGCAGGGAGTCCAGCCCTCGAGGTACTGCAGCGGGGGGACCACCAGCGCGAAGAAGAGCCTCCTCGCCCGTGCACTCAGCGAGCCCCCTGTGCTCCGACAGAGATGTTGCCCCCTCCTCCTTCTTCTCCTCCTCTGCCTCCCGCCCCGCCCCTGCTCCTGCTCCTGCCACTACTGCGCCTCCCATCCCCCTTCGCCCTGCCCCGTTCCCCTGGCCACTCGTCCCCCACCTCATTCCGCTCCCCTGAGATCCGACAATTGAGACGCCGTGAAGAATCGCGCCTGGAGTCCCAGACCCTATATTTCTGCTTCGAGCCGGATCGATCTGTAAAGGTCCCGGGACCCGAAATTATCCGAAAACGCCAGGATCTCAGGGTCCCACTCCTACCCCTCCACGGCGCCATACTGCACCTCGCCTCGCAGGCCCCCCTCAGGGCAGGGCCGATAAAGGCCAGGCCGGGCACGAAGCCAGGCGGCAAAGGGAAGAACGGCCGGGCCGCTCGCCCGCTGCCGCCAGGGCCCGAGGGATCATCGTTGTCTTATTGGGTCGGGCTGGCCTCCGAGATGTTTCCAGGGCCGAAGAGCTCGAATATGGTCCGAGGCGTTGCCGGACGGCCTCCATCATGGCCCCGAAATGGCCCTGGGCCCCGAGACCGCCCAAGAGGCTCCCGAGACACTGCAATAAATCCCCGCCAGGAGCGCACATGGATCCTCCCCAAGAGGTCTCGAACAGAGGCTGGCCACCCGAGGAAAATTCCTGATACCTCGGGTGGCGCTTGTGCCCTTGTACGGCCTGCCTTGGGGCATCAAGGCACGGATTACCACTTACGCCACCGAGGTGCCGGAGGGGAGTTATTGAAAACAGGCTTGTGGCTCATAGGACCTCCAGACGGTTTCAGAGAGCCCAACGATGCCCCCGACACGGCCCAAGTCCCCAAGCGGGCCCAGGAAGGCCACGAGAGGCCACCAAGGCGACTCTAAGACAACCCCAGAGGGCTCCAAGAGGCTCCCAGCAGCAGCCCAGAGACGCCCCATTTCCTAGCCGAAGTGTCCAAGCGATGCAGACACAAGTGGGGAATTCAAGGCCCTGGAGGCGTCAAAAAGCTTGGAAAACAAACAGAACGGCTGGGGAGACGCACTGTCCACCGAGTTGCTACAGCACGGCAGGCTCGAGAGACCGCGTGGATCATTTAACCTTGAACGATCGCGGCTTTCCGGTAGCGCAGATAGTTCGATGCTGGCCGAGCCCAGGGCTCTGTCGGCGTTCAGCCTTGAATGTGCGCGCTCGTGTCGCCGCCGCGTCGACATCACACGAATCTCCCATATTGTCCGCAAATGACCCCCAATCGTTTCCACGACGGCTGAGGAGCACCTGGTCCAGCAGCGTGGCCACACGTTCGAC